AACTAATATCTCAATTCGTACTGTAATTGAGAATCTTATTGAGTGCTTAGGATTAGAAATTGAGTTGGATGACTGCTTACTCTCTAAGACAAGGAGTTTCTTTTATAACTATTGAGTCTAATCCTTCAGAATAACTATGTAGATATACACAAACTTACTTGAACATCTTAAGAATATTTCTTAAATCTTTAGAGGTATTTAACCAATACAATATATATTTAAATAGTACAAATCGAGCTTAAGCCCTTGGACCGGCCTTACCGGAGATAACCATTTAAGTTGATCCATCGAACTATTTTTAGGGATGTCAATAAAACCGATAGGGTCGGGTTACCCGCGGGTTACCCGCATTTTTGAGTTGGGTAAACCCGAGATGATTGAGTTTTGTGTCGGGTTAGGGTAGAATTATGCTACCCGAACCCCGGGTCGGGTCGGGTGCGGGTATAGCAGGCAAACCCATCACCCGGCCCGATTACCCCACCCGTTTACCCGCAACCATTGAATTATATATACATACATACATACATATACATATATATATATATATATATTTATAACTTGTAATAAATATAAAAGTAGTCATGTGTTATTTTTAAAAATTATATTATCTATTATAATTTTAATTAATGGTTAAATTTATTATCATTTTTTGTTAATTGTATAATAAAAAAATATTTATTTTAAATGTTATAATATTAAATAGACGATAAAAGATAAATAATCATATCTCGTTATTTATTCCAAAAATAATATATTTTTTTATAGTTTTTTATTGTCAAACTTAGTTAATAAATTATTTCTTACATTATAATTAATTGTGAAATTATTTTATTTTATTTTTTCATATGAAATCGGATGGATCGGGAAAAACCTAAATTTAAGACTCGAGTTACCCATTTACCCGACGAAAACCCACGAACCCGCCGGGTAAAACCCAACCCGGACTCGAAAATCACTAATCGGGTAACGGTTCGGTTTTGGATAGTGTAAATTATATGCGGGTCGTGTTCGGGTTTGCCAAAACCCGTACCCAAACCGACCTATTTACATCCCTAACTATTTTGGTGCCTCTACTAAAACATTTTTTTTTTTTCAAAATGATTTGATAACTCGGCCAAGCTTCTACTCTGAAGCCTCAACTCTTTCAGGAACAGAATTGGCAGCAGAAAGAGCTCACTGTTTTGAGATGAATAGGTGTTGAAAGGTGTTGAAACAGAAGCTCAATTTTGAAAACGGGCCGAGTAAGTGTATTTCTTTTTACCTTCATATTCTCGTCTTTTTCGACTTAGTATTTTCATGTTTGCCTTCGAAATCAGCGCTCGAGAAAGAACAGAATTCATTCCTTTTAATGTGTTTTTGTGCCATGGCCGATACTAATTTGCTCTTGTTGTCGATCAGGGTTGCTTTAGTTTGGTACATAGAATTGAAGATGCAGTTTTAATATAGTTTCCTGATTAGGGTTCTTCTGGAGTTGTAGGGTTTGATCAGACAAAGTATCCATCTAATCAAATTAAAGTGTAAATATTGAAAATGTTCCCTTTTTCCCATCTTTAGCATGTCTTGAAAGAAGGATTTTGAGCATAATGCATAGAAAAACATTATGATGTGGCCATGGCAGTGATAACTATTTTCAGTAGTTTATATCACAATTTATGGACTTACAGATAAGACAATGGAGTTATAGATAGAGATAGAAGAGATGAGTAAAATACAATCGATACTTGAAGCTATAGGGCGTGAACTAATGTCTGTAGAATGATGAACGGTCATTCAGCCATATGTAGAACTAGAAGGGTCTGCTCAGTATAATCATTGTTCGATCTTGGAGTCTATATCTTATCCTGATGGTCTACATCAAAAAGCAGTTTTTAAAGGTTTTACATTTGGATTTGTCACAAGCAACTGTGGCCTTCTTTGTGTGTGTGTGTGTGTGTGTGTGTTTTATCTGCTTTGTGCTTTGTATCCATGATACCACGCAAGAATGAGTTGTCAACTGCTAAAACCAGGATATCATCACCTGTTAATTACGCATGTTTTTGAATTTTTACCATTGTAGCCTTGTCCAATGGGAAGCAAACACAAAAGTTAAATAGAATCATAAACATTTTCCAACTTAACTAATAAAAATTAGGTTATGTACATTAGAAATTATGTTTCTCAGTGAATTCACAAGGAAAAAAAAAATGACTTTTTAATTTTTACTTTTCATTTTTTCGTAGACCGGTTTACGGAAGAAGGAATAATTGTGGGAGAAGTGGTGTTAATATCTGAAGATGGTTAACCGGATAAGGGGAAGGCGGTGGAGCGATCAAACGCTTCTTCCTATGCGCACCACACGTCAACTCTTTAACACCGTGTCTTGCTGGTAAAATTATACTGCCATTGCTCTTCATTTATGCAACAGATTTTCAAAATCCATCTATTTGGTTTTGTATCAATATAATGATTGCCTGACCCTAGGTATTGTGATTTCAAGTTTTCGACTTTCAACGAACCCTTATTTCGTTTCGGTCGCAGACACTCCAGGTCGTGCCTTTTCTGCTCTCTCTCTCTCTCCCTCTCTCTCTCTCTCTCTCTCTATATATATATACATATATATATATATATATGTTTGTGTGTGTGTCTGTGTGTGATAGTCTTTGTGTTGGGTTGTGCTGCAGGTCCTTGAGAGTATGGTTTTCCTTGGGAACTGGTTTTAGTTTGGCTGCGCTCTTTGGAGTCACAGTAGTAGGTAGTTTATTGCATATTCAAAGTGATTGTGATTGGTTGCACTGCTTTTTATATATTTTACTAGTACAACATCCGTGTATTACACGGGTGCTTGCTAAATTTTTTTCTTAAAATTTAAAATTATTGAGAAAAAAATGGTTGAAAATTTAAGTAGTTTTTATAAAAACATGTACATATTATATATTTTTATTATGTCCATTGCATATGGAGCTGGAAGAGTCATTGTTGACAATTCTCCTGGCATAGTGCTAATAATGGACTAGATCAAAATGGCTCAATTAAATTCTAGTGCTTCTTCTATTAGTGAAGTTTCTAGAAAAAAAAAATATATCAGACGACGCAACGCACCTTGGGTCGCTATGGAAACAGCCTCTTTGTATAATTACAAGGGTAAGGTCTGCGTACAACTGACCCCCCAGACCCCAACCTGTTGGGAATATACTGAGTATGTTGATGATGTTGATGATTGATGATGATGATGTTACTTGTGCGATTTACATGTGTCATATTATAATATTTTTCTAACTTATAACATATAACTGCATTAACATAAATATATAAATTGAAAAATAATTTTATTTTTTAATTAATTTTAATAAATAATTTTATTATTATATAAAGAATATATACAACATGGATGCCAAATTGAAGCTCATCAAAAGACGATTAATTTGATATATTATATATGTAAAACCGATAAGAAATACAAAAGTTATCAACTTTTAAAATACTTATACAATCAATAGTTATAATAAGTAATAATATTAAAATACAATTAATACATTTAAGATGATCATAAATAAATCAACATATTTATTTAATACGAACCTAATTATTTTGAGATTAAAATTAAATTAATGTTTATCCAAGCCAAACAATGAAGCATGAAATTTTGACACCTAGAATCCCGAAGCATGCAAGCCTGCCACTTAGACTCAGCGCATTCGGGAATTATATATAGAGAGGATTTCTTGGTCAATATTTGTATTTCGTCTTTTCTTTTTCTGGTGTTCTTTACGTTTTTATAAAAGTCTCCTCCATATAGTTTTTGGTGCATGGGACCTTGTTCCATTGCCTGCTAGAGTCAAGCCGATTTCTTGCAAAAGTGTGTCTTTATTGACATTGGTTTACTTGTCCTGTGTTTTCAGATTATGGTTTGTGAATTTGTTTGGGCAGCATTTGTGTATACGGGGAATAACTCTCCAAGTGACTCATTGTCGTTGCTGGGACTTTCCTCTTTGGTCAGTATTGAAGATTCTGTCTCAACCTTCCTTTGCCATGTTCTATCACATGTGCATGTGTTGGAATATTTCTTTTGCTTGCCAACGAAAACCGTGGTTATCCAAAGCCCCAGTCTCTTAATGTAAACATTTAATGTGGTGGTGTGATACCTTGTATGGTGTTGAGTATGCAACCTATTTTCAACTTTGTTAGTTGTATTTGTTGATAGTGATTTTCTTGATCTGTATATGGATAGCTGGGAGAAATGTTCTACCTCACCCAACTTATGAGATTAGTAAATACAAAAATACTTACTAATATCCTGTCATTGTTTCGTATTTTATTGCTTTTGAAGATGCTTAGACGCACAGATCATGTCAAATATGGTTACTAGAGGGGCTAGATTTTTCTGTGACATTCTTGACGCCTATGCAATCTCATTCCTACTCTTGTGCAGATTGCTGGATTAAACATCTCACTTCCCAGTATGGGATACTTGTCTGTATCTTCTGTAATATGCGTGATTGTGCATGAATTCGGCCATGCACTTGCAGCAGCCAGGTTAAGATTCTCCCCTTTCCTTCTGAAGCTCACTAGTGGCTATTATACTTTTTCTACTTATCTCATTCTTTTTACAATTATCCCGTTGCATTTGCCACCCTTGCAACATTTGAAGATTTTTTTTCTTCTTAAAGAAATCTGAACGATGTTTAAATGCTGTGTTAATGGTCGAGTCTTTGACCTGAATTAATAGACTTCCTCCAAAGCATATTTATGGTGGTATTTTGAATTTTGAAAATGGGAAATGCATATTAGTCATTGATCTAGGTATTCTTGGTATTGACATTTCAAGATATTGATGAACCACTCGTGACTCTTCCAACCACAAGTAGATAGGAAAATATCCCATGCTAACCGAGAGAGAAAAA